TAGCGCTACCATGCCATCCCTGCAAGCCTGTCATCCTGTTACACAGCAGCCTCACGTCCGCACCTGATCAGCTCCTCCCCTGCTTTTGTACCTGCTGCTCCCTCTCCCGCACTCCTTGCATTGCGATCGGACCCGCCCGTGCTCGCATATGCTGCTGCCCCCGCATCCCTTGCATCTCGATCGCTCCCGCCCGTGCTCGCATATGCTGCTGCCCCCGCATCCCTTGCATACCGATCGGACCCGCCCGTGCTCGCATATGCTGCTGCCCCCGCACTCCTTGCATCTCGATCGGACCCGCCCGTGCTCGCATACACCCCTTCCTTTCCTTCTTTGCTCCATGTCTGCATCCACATCTCCTCCCTCTCCTCCTTCCTCTCTCGTCTTGTCTGATCCTTCCAGCCTCCTCCTCTTGCTCGACCTCCTGCTGCCGTCTACCGTCATGGCTTTCCGGCACTTACATTCGTCCCCCTCATACACTAGCACCTCAAGGCATCTGCATGGGTGGGGAGGGGGTGCCACGGTAGTCAATCTTCTCACTTCAGCGACCCAGCATCTGAAGTTTAAGTCTTCGTTCTGTATCCTTATTTGAAGTCCACTTTCTCCACTATTACACGAAGGTTTTCGAAACACAAGCATCTGGAAATCCACATGCAGGAACCACTGCTATGTATGAGCATTTAAATCGACTTCGTACACAGCTTGGTAATATGCACAGAAAGCATCGAACTCTTTTTTCCCGAATCGAAAAGTGGTCTACCTCGCATTTCGAAGATTTGAATTCATTACAATCCACGATTTACGAATACTTTTTGCGGTAAGTCTGTGATGTTGCTTTCTTCCACTCTCTGTAGTGTGATCATTCTGCAGATATGCAAAATTGTCGGATGTGTTGTATCCGTGAGGATCCGGACGTCTCGGATACTCGTACGGGTACTTAGTATCCGCCCTGACATCTAAATAGGGCCTCCCTTTGACGCGCATGCACTACCGTGCGCAGTGCGTGTGTGCAGTTTACCTTAAGTAAACGTAGTCTACCTTTGTTCTCTTGCTCTCAAGTTATCTCCTAACTTCTACTTAGCCTCGTTCTGAACCTCTGTGTTGTGTATACAACATTCTGGAAGCGAAGTTGGTTCATTCATGCCATCGAAGTACGGTAGAGGAACAGGATACAGAAAGCAAGCTGCTTCAGGGAGAAGCCCATCGTCAAGAAGCAGACAATCAGAGTTAAGATTCATTCAAGAAGAAGACTCTGGTAGCGAACAAGAGGGAATGGAGATTCAAGAATCGATCTCCCCTGCTCGGGAAACGGAAATTCTTAGTGCTCATGGAACGGACGCCGAGATTATCCCGACACAACTTATTATGAGCGGAGACATGCAAAGCATCATGCCAGCAGGCGTGGAGCAACGGGCCCGAATCGGGGAGGACGCTTCCCAACCAAATGTTCCAAGATCAGTCGAGACAGCTCAACCACGAGCAGCCTCTTCTGCAAATCCTGCATGTCTGCCCAGGTCAGAAAATTTTTCTTCTGATCACCTCGCAGCGTTGGATGCTAAAACAGACAAATGCCTCCAACTGCTCGGCCACATTTGTGCCATCTTAGCCGACAATGACCCCAAGTCTTGCCGTGCTGGCGCCTCAGCTCTCCATGCTGACCGGCCAGGCGCCCCTGTCGGATGCTGTCCTCACGCCGATGCCAGCTCCATCTATGATTCCGTCCCCCTGAGGTCCCATCGGACAGCATCGTGCCAGCTCAGCTCACTCCGCCATCCGCGCCTTCGACGGACACTTTCCAAGTTCTGCCTACTCCCACGGTGGCACCGTGGCGCCCAAATTTAACGGGAGCCGCATCCCCACCTACAAGGGTATGACCGATACACGTTCGATCGATGACTTTCTTCGGCAGTGTTCACGAGCTCTGGCCTCGCAAGAGATCCCCGAAGCCAAATGCCGGGTGCAATCCATATGCCCGTTGATTTCGGGAGAGGTAAATGGTGATGCTCGATTGTATCTATCCCCTCGCAAGATGGACATCCATCGTCTTTCCTGGACCGAGTTTGGCAATCAAGCTCCGCAAAAGCATGGCGCCCGCCATGCGTTCCAAGGATTATCAGGCTCAACTCGCCGAGCTGAAGCAGTCCTCTTCGGAGAATGCTTGGGCTTATTTGGCGCGTGCTACGACCTTGCTCAAGACACT